TAAGAGGAGAAATTGCTACAAAGGCCACAGAGCTGCAAGTCAAATTTGATAAAAGTGATAAAATGGAAACCTCCTTGAACTTCAGGTTTTTGCAGTAAAATTACTGAGGGGACAGCGATCAGGTCTAAAAGGAAGGGTTCTCTGAGCAAAGAAAAATGGCCAGGAAATCACTTGTTCATAAGCTTTCTTTGGTTTACATTCTGTCTCATCAGGCTGCTTTCATCTTCTCTATTTAAAAAATTTTTTTTTAAAAAAAATATTATAATCTTGATATTTATTTTTAAGGGCTCATCATAAAGGAGACTTTGAAGCAGATTCAGTTTAAAGTTCTGTTTTATATGCATAAATGTAAACACAAATCGTCTGGAAATGGCTCGTATAAACTCACGTAACTTATACAGCTGAAGCCTTCATTATTCTCAATTCCCTTTTACACCTAGTATGCATCAGAATGCGTGAACGGAAGAAGTCATGTTAAATTAAAAAAATTTGCAACTTTTGTCTAGATTAGTGCTAAATAAAATTAAAGATATAAATTCTTTATATTCTTGTTTTGCTCATTCATTGATTTATATTAACACCCTCATTTTACTTGTATCAAGATTTAATTAGGTAAATTATTGCATTTTACATATTAGCTAAAACATACCTTTGGATTAACTCCCTTTTCAATTCTATTTATTTTCTTCTGGTAGCTTTTAAATGTTAGTTTTATGGGTTGGGTTTTTTTTTGCAAGAACTTTTGATACTTTATAAGCTGAACCTGTGCAATAAAAGAATTTAAAGAAGTTGTCTTTAGGTCTCATAACAAATTGTTAAGAGTCTGTTCAGCCAGTTTTAATTATTCTCTTTCTTTGAGCATACATGCTGGTCTGTACTATGACCATTCTAAAAATAACTTTTCCCTCTTGCTTAACAAGGAAGAAGCATTGTTTTAATACTGTATCTTTATAGTATCAAATAGTTTTCCATCTTTTTATCACTTTTATTGAAGTTTTAAGAAAATTACACTAATGCAGATTCCTTCCATAATTTAATAGTAAGTTGCTCCAAATATAAAATAGGAATCCACTTAATTCTGAGCATTGGGTCTGTCAGGGCATGTGTTCTGGGACGACGGTTCCTGTTACAGGGTTCTGGCCAGAGCACTGTCATTTGCATATTTTTGCTTCTCTTCTTCTAAATCTTTTGAAACTGGAGATGTTTTTCTTGTGTGCCTTACTTTCTTTTGTTTCTGGGAAGATGCATGGTGGTACTGAATGAGAAAACTATTCTAACTAATGAAGTAGATACTGAATAACTGGATTTAAACAGAATTTTATGTACTTTATATGCTTTTGTTTCAAATGCAAATTAGATCAATGCTTTCTTTCTCAGAATTAAATATATACTATGTTACTGAAATATAACATTTAATAATAAAATGGCAGACTTTTATATCTCACAATCACCAGAACTTTTGTTGGTGAGTAGAGACGGAAGGAATAAAAATTAAAGAAGATAAAAGAAATAGGATGAAAGCAAATGAGAGTGTTAAACTCATCATATTTTTTAGGGTTTGTATCTGTACAAGCCATTATGCAATACAAAAAGATGGGTACAGAGGCAGTGCTTCCAAGACCTAATAAACCTGTTCTACCATGGAGGGACAGTCATTGCAATTTCTGTTTCATGCAGCCACCTGTGCTGGGTGCTTGCTGTGTGTTTCACTTGAATGCCTCAGAATTCAGATATCCCAAGGCAGACTGGACCATCCTGCTCTGGACATTCAGTGCATTTCAAGCATTGTTTTTGTTTTTAGTAAAGGCCAGATGATATAAGAGGAAATGTTTTGACCAGGGAACACAAAATGTGGTTCTCTGTTGGTTGTCAGTGCTGTTGGCATTTGTTGTAGAAGTGATTTGACATACTGTATGAAATAGAATTGTAAATACACAGTTCTGCCTGTCACAGAGTGCTCGCTGATGGAGCTGTGAGTAGGTGCACAATGAATCATTTCCTAAAATAAAAATCCCAATGCACAAAATAGCACAACTATTAAAAAGTGCTTTGCTCCACCCTCCTGTCCAGAATACTGGAGAGTCTGATATGAATCAAAGTATATGTTTCTGTATGTTTTGGTAAGTATACTAAAGGAAAAAACTTTTCTGATTTCCTTCCTGAGAAAAAGCTAACAATTAACTTCCTCAAGCTAATAGTATTTGCACTTCATTCTTAGGAGAATGCTTGAATTATACCAACAATGCAACAGGACAAATTCATTACAAATCTTCTTGGATATTTAGTGTTTAGTGGGTTTTTTCCTCCTTGATACTTAGGCAGCATTTCCTGCTTAAAAGTAGTGCTGTAGCAAGGTCCCTCCATTGTGTCTTCCAGCCTGCATAAGCTGCAGACTCTAAATTAATCTCTTCAGCTTGGCTCTTTGGAAGGGCCTACATACATGAGCTTTCTTGTTTGCCCTTAGAAGATAAATTTATTCCAACTAACCTATATTCCAGGGCAGCTGTTAGGCTCACCTTTGCACAGAGTGCAGTGGTGAGCACAGAGTACACATGCAGCTTTTCACTTGTTGCTTCACTACTTAATCTCTTTAAAGATTCATGCAGAATTATACTCACAGAAATGAAATATAATCAGATAGTGTGAAGATGCAGTCCAAGCAGAAAATACCATTTAACACATCCTTCCCCCGAAAAAAACCTTAACTAGCCCTCTGTGACAATTTGAAACAGTTCTATATAAATTAACTTTGTGTATATGTGAATTTGAAAAGAGATTGAGTAGAGCTGGTGAACAATAAGTGAAAAAGATTCTTCTTCTGGACCCACTGAGTGTACTGGAGAAGAAAGGTGATAGAATGCATCAGTGGGATGGAGAAAAGGCAGCAAGGAACAGAAACCTAGCAGCTGAAGCAGCAATTGAAACTGTTAGAGTGATCAGGTGATAGACCCATAGCCAGCTGTTTATGCTCACAGGTGAAAAATGTTCCTGGAAACCAGATCTGCCTTGCACTGACACACAGGGCGGTTGGGCTTACACGATCTTTAATTTTCATATTTTCTTGCATAGGATTTTCCATATTTTTCTCTTTTAGATTATTGTCGTTCATTCTCTAACAAAACATAGATATTCTGAGTTTCAAAGCTGTTTTGAACCTCCTTATATATGTGTAATGGAATGGTCTAAGCAGATCTCCCTTAAAGCCTTATATTTGTGGGTTATATGTTTGTATTTTAAAAGGTTCCTTTGGAGTATTTTCCACTTTGGAACTCTTTAAAACAATTGCATTTTTATAGATTTAATTGGTATAAGAGTAACTTTCAAGTGTTTCTTTATATGGGAAAGATATACGGCACTTTTGGCTCACTCTTTTGCTCAGGTTTAGAAGATTATATCCAATTTTAAATATTCAGCAGACCCTATCCTTAGGAGGAGACAAGGTCTCAGTCTGTCAATAAATGAACAGCTGTCCCATCCCTTAAAATTTAAAAAGCACATTCAACGTAGCACATTCAAAGTACTCTGGAGGGAAACACTAGAAAAATTCTTTTCAACACTTCTTTCTTGATATCACATTGGAGCCTCTAACATAGTGGGAAGTCAGGAAAATGGGAAAACATCAATTTTGAGATGGTGATTTTTCTGTGGCATCAGTATTTAAGCTCATGAGTAACTTAAACGCCGAAGAGCAAGAATAGAGGCTACTTGAACATTTTCCCTCTGTTATTGGTAGTCCAGAAATGTCTGGTAAATAGTTACTGTTTATATTTTCTGGCCATTATTAAAATTATCCCTCACTTCAGTTGTTTTAGAATTTGGTTAATTTTTGGTTTTGCATTCATACTTTTTCCCCCCATGGTTTCCACCATTTTATCTTTAAATTTGCTTTTGCTACACTGCTTGACCTTTCTGAATCTTTACCAAAGTATTTTTTAATGCTTCATATGTTAAAACTCCTGTTTCATAGAACCTTTGAGGTTGAAAAAGATCTCTGCTATCATTTTGAGTTACACATCTGTACAACCTAATTTTAGTTATTTTTAGTGTTTTCCACATAATCACAGTATTTCAGATAAATTCTGTTTCCTATACAGGCTAGAATATTCTTGTTTCCTAAATACCCTTTGCTTATCACAGCCTTTAAACATCTCACAGACTTGAAAAATACCTGACAGGACTGAATGTCTTCTGTGTCCTTTCTAGTTCGATTAATTACTTAAACTGATACCTCATAGTGTCTTCTCCACCACTGTGTTGTTTTGTACTTTGAGGAATAAGCAGATTTCTTGGGATCTTACAGGCATACACTGAACTTTTGTTAAAGAAAAAAAAAAGAGAGGGGAAAAAAATGTAGAAATGGTTAAAATAGCAGAATATTGAAACCATAATATCTGTTTGTTTTCTTTTTTCCTGAGATGAGTTTGCAAGTTCTTCTGGTTAGTCAGGTGCTGGTATGTGGGTGCATTCTGACAATGTGAAGGATAAATATGTCTGCTTAGTTACCTTTCCACAACTAAGTCTCCAGCCATTGACTTTCAAAATCCAATTGAAAAGGAGGTTGACAGTTTTAGGGTGAGGAAATGGGATATCAGCATTCTTGAACTGTGCAGAAAATTACTTGAGGGAGAGCAAGATTTAAATTTTGTACAAATGAAACGTAACCCCATAACTGAAGTTACTGTTCATTATACTAACGGATTCCAATCTTAAAGTTGCAACAGAAATATTTTTTATTATTTTGCACATAGATTTTTGACAAAAGTTTATTTCTCATTTACTGTAAACTCTGCTTTCATGAGCATTTGCCATCCAAACAGCTGTTGGGTGTCTGGCATTTCATTTGTTTGTGTCACAGTTTTAAGCTGAGTGAATTTTGACCTATCACTTGTAAGATGTTGTCAGTTAAAGCAGTGACAAGGGCAGTTCTTGAATATATCTTATTTTTTCTCCATACTGAAGAAAAATTTTGCTTTCTCTTTCCCTTCTTTGCATTTAAATAGGAAGACAGCTGCCTTCAGATGGTACAGAACTCACTGACAGTTGCTCTTGCCTCAGTCCTGCTTCATGAGAACTTCAGAAGTTACTAACTGAGGTATTTATTTGTTCTTTTCATTTTTTTCAAGTTTTAACTTTTCAGAAATTAGTTATGGGGAAGAGCAAGACAAAGGAGACATCTAGACCAGTGATGAGAAATTGTATATGGAAAATAGCACTAAGTTCTGTCATAAAGAGAGCTACTGGGTGATGGGATCTAATCTTTCAAAAGCTAGGCACTATGTTAGTCAACCTTTTTTATATGTTGAGAAATCAAATAACTACAAATACGTCAAAAGAAAACATGTTAAAATGCAGTTAAAAACATTGGGGTTTTGAGGGTCATGTACCCAGTTTTATCTGATCCTATGATTTTCTCAAAGAACGGGCAAAAGATTTTGCAGAAAATCCCTCAACATGAATACCCAATTACATAAATAATGACTAAGTAATGAACCTTTCAAAACTGTCCATCATTTATAGGTTTCTTCCTCTAATACTTGAACAGAATTTCAGTTGAAGAAAACCTTTGGTATTAATACAACATGCAAATGCTTTCCTCACACTTTATCTTTCATACAACCCTGAGATTAAATACAAAATCCATTTTAAAAATATTGATAAATATTTTTTATTGGAAATATTTGTCATTTTTGGAAGATAACAGTAAATTAATTTCTTTGCAGAGAAAAGAACACCATTTGTATATGTAAACAGAGTCTGATAAAGGATTTATGGCCTTCATGAAGAATTCATGAAGGGAAAAAGTATCTTGTAAGCCTGTGATCAGTTGGATTTGTGTCAGTCCTAAATTTATGATCTGCAGCTGTTAAATGTGTGATAGAAGTCTCATCTTCTAAAGCGTGGTGACAGTGTGAGCACATGGCTGAGAAAAGGGAAATACAGTGCTTTGAGAAATGAAATTGTCCAAACGTGGGTGATGACTGCAATGCTTCACATAGCACAAACCTTTTATTCTGTAAATCTTGCAAATGTATGTTTTAATGCTTTTTAAATTGCGGAAAGCTACTGGCACAGATTCTAACATACCTGATGTTGAACAAGAAGTCTGCAGGTCAATGTTTGTGTAGGCAGTGTAATGTAAGCAGTGCCAGACTCAAACCTAAAAGTATGTAATATATGCAGCTTTTTTTTTATATATCTATATATATATATATCTCATAGTTTTTATGTGTGTCTATGCATATATGTGTGTCTGTGTTTTAGATACCAAGATAGGCTTAACTTCTTGGAAAGATTGGTAATTGTTTGTATGGTTCTTGTATAAAACTTATATGTGCTATTATAGGTATATTACAATACCTGCATTTCCTTTCTTGAAGAGAGTTTTTATATGCCAGTCAGTATATATTATAGCTAGAATAATGTTAGCATTAAAATGAAAAGTTTTCACAAAACGAGCTCTTAAAATTCAGTTGCGATGTTACATAAAGATTAGAAAAAGAAAGCAGAAGTAGTTTTTGTTTCTAATTTTGCATTGTGCGCTGTTAGCAGCCACCTCTGATAATGGTTTTTGTGTGCAGGTTCTATGGAGTGCTCACATTCTCAGATTTTAATAAAGAAGTTGGCATTATGTGACAGGTTGAGTGATTTCAGTGCACAATATGGATTGGTTATGTCTTACAGTGGGGCACTTCTTTTCTGGAGTCAGTACGCAACCATTTTAGCAGTAGAATTAACCGCTTATGTCACAGATTATAATTAGCTGTGTCTGTGTGCCAGAGCAACAGGATGGAATGCAAAACATAGCCAAACATGTGAACGAATTTTCTTCCAGTGATATTTGGCCAGACCTAAAATATCTTCCACTCCAGATCTGAAAGTAGTGGAAAAGTTAGACAATTCTCTCTTGGAAAGAGACCGATTGTAGTTTATTCACAAGTCCACATTGTTTCAAATCTCCAAGGTAAGTAATTTTTAAAATTTATTTTTATATCTGTATTAAACATTAGCATGCTAACAAATGAGTTATTTTTGTTTGTTCTTTACTTGTTACATGGTTGTATAGAACTTCTCTGCCTAAGTCTCTGTGCAACATTTCAGACTGATTTTGTCCTTATTTAAGGATCATTTTGATGCTTATGTGATTTGTTTAAGGGCCTAAATCATGTGTTCATTTTTGACTACAATTACTATTTTAAATTCAGATAATTTATTTATACTTCTTTTTACAATTAAATGTGACATTAAGTTACATAGTTTAAACCCTGCACTTCTGTAATATTAAGAAGCTAATTTAAAATTCTAAGTTTGTAACTTTTAAATCTTTTACAGTATCATGTCACTGTATTTACATAAATATCTGATTTGCAGTATTGCTGATGTTGTAGCTATAGATTTCTCTCAGTTTATCATGTACCAAAAGTTAAATTTAGTCAAGAATGGATCCATGGTCCTGCTGAACACTTATTTTTTGGCTTGATTGTGTGATAAAAACCACCCACCTGAGTTGTTATCAAAATTGTTTCTAACTTCTGTGAAGCATACTTGAATTAATAGAGGGCATATAGTAATGTTTGTACAGAACTCCTATTGCAAGTTTGTAATCTCCTTGAATTCAAATACAGTTTCTCTTGGATAATTTCATCTTTGGATAATTGAGAGAAAATTACCAGCTAGGTATCAGTGGATTACTAACTCATTATCAAATGCTTTATTGGATGGTACTTGGTATCTCGCCACCAACAGGTGCTTGCACTGCATACTTAATCATTAATCTGAATGAGCACATAAGTTCCTAAAACAGGATATTGCCAAAGTGTAGGAATGTGATTTTAGTGCATCAACACCAGTCAACTAGGCTCCTTTTACTGAGATATAGGTGTTTTTACTATATCTGTCTCAAATCTCCTCCTACTTGAGGAGGAGATGACTTGTGTCCTAGAAGTGTCTGTCTATCTCCATTTTCTGTGGAGGGGGCCTAGGTAAGTGCGGCTGATGTTGTCTGTGTTTGGAGAGATGAATTTTGGCCTGCATGGCCACTCACAAATGAGTAATCCATTTGAGTGAACTACAGGAACTCTATACCATAAAGTTCTGGAAGTTTGCCATCAGTTAAGATTTTGGAAGTTTTGTTTGCAATACAGTCACGAACGGTACCACTTTGGCTGAGATGGATTTGTATTTATCTTCTAAACAAACGTTCTATTAGATACACCCCTCTTTTCTATTATATAATGAAGAAAAAATGGTCCTAGAATACCATCAAAGGATAATAACTGCATGGATTTAAATTAAAAATAAAAGGGTTAAATTAAGCCCAGCATAAGAGGGAACCACTTAAAATCCCTTTTCTGTTATGCTTTTGCTAGCAGCATGCAGCTTTTTCCTGGTTGAAAACTCAGTGGTTTAAAGCATGTTATATTTTGAATTTTATTCATAATCATAAAGTTATATATACAAAGATCCTCTTGCTTGAATATCCTCATGAGATTTTTTCCATCCTGTGGAAAGTAGTGCCTTGTACATGAAATACAAATCCCAGGTCCTAATCTCTTGCTGTTTTTAATTATTTTCATGATTTGGAATTAAGTAAGCTGGATTTCCTGTGGACTTATTTCTCAGAGTTGACTGTCTTACATGTTTAACGAGCAGTGATTGAAGGTGTTTTTGTAACAGAAACATTTACAAGTTCTTTTTCTCACATCAGTTTTCTGATATTTTCTAAGGTATTCATGCCCATTGCAGTCCCTCAGTAAAGACATTAATGAGGGTTCTTATTTTTGCTGTTATCTCATTTTCAGAAAGTTTTCATGAATGTAGTATTTGAGGCATCTGCTTGTCTGTTGAATTTTGTTGAAATTGGCCAAGAAGCTCAAAAGCTATTGAAGAGGTAGGGAAAATGAATGAGAGACAGCTAATTTAGACATTGACACAGGGTTTGGTTGCTTTTTTATTTATTAAATCAGGCTAAAAGCATCATGGCAGTTTGGATAACAGGTTAATTCAATATCCTGGTCAAATTTTCAGCTTGGGTAATAATATTCTCACTATTTAATTCATCTTAGCTCTGGCTACCTGGGCCAGTCTTCTCATTAAACTTTTCTGTATATCTGCCAAAAGCTGTTAAACAGCTGCTGCATTTCATGCCATGGTTGGTTATGTTTCTGTGGTGGATGAAGTCTGTCTAAGATTGTGAAGAGGAATATAAACTAAAATACATAAATATTTTTTAAATGGAGTGTGGTGTGTACTGAAGTCTTGGATAATGCTGGTGGCAGCCATAAAACTTGCTTTTCAATAAGATGTATGATTGCTTGTGTTTGTGGATATGTATATCCTCAAGGTTGCCTGTAAGAATCACGTATATATATATTTTTAATAAAGGGATATAGAGATGAAATCATCTTGTAGTAATTACTGTTAAATAGTTTGTCCTTTTTTATTTGCTGTGCTGTCAGCGCTCTGAGGAACAGAAGTACCCTTGCTTCACCTTACCTTTTCCCAGTCGTATTCCAAGTTCCAGATACTAAATTTTATACAGACTTTTTGCATCCTTGCCTTATTAGTTGTGGATAGTAGTGGCTTTCAGAAAAGACTGACTGTGTAGGGTACAACAGCCCATTTCATGTTAAAGTTTCTCACAGGTCCTACCTTGAATTTCCAAGCTGTTAGACCTTTCTGTGAGAAGTATGCAAGCTCCTGACAGAAGTAGACATGTTTGCAAAGTTCCACTGTCCCAGATTTCCTCAGTTTTAAGGAAAATTATTTTAGGTGAGAGGAAGTAATAATTAAATAAAAACCATGTTCTGATGACTCCAGACTGCTGAAAGCAGAATAAAATGGAAGAGTTTCTTAAAGACTAAATGCTCTGGAATGAAGCTGAGTCAGTAGAGCACGGCTGTGGTAAGGAACCCTAACCACAGACCAGGCTGTGTTAGCAATGCTGGAGATACCAAGCTCCTTCCAAAGGTCTCTTCCAGACCAGCTTTGAACTGGAATAGATTATCTCCAGAGGTCCATTGCAGCCCATTTTTTTCTAGGATTTTCAGAATTTGTTAAGATTTTCCTGACTATTCACTTTATTGTCATTATTAATTACCTACTGTTTTTTTTTTAATCACCTGGCCATCTTACTAGCTGATCCAATCTGCAATGTTTCAGAGTTCATGGAAGAGGGCATCACAATTTAATAAATAGGTGAGGTTGGTAGCTAGCATATTCTCCAGCCCCATAAAATTGCTCTAAATCAATGAGAATTAACTGTAATATTTGACTTTTACTTGGAAATGCAAGGAAGGAAATAGATGGATTCAGAACTTAAAGTTAAAAAACTGAGTGTTACTTTAATATCAGGATTCCCTATGAGCTGAAAATCCACAGGAGAGTATTTGTACACCTGGCAGAAAAGGTTGCTGTTATTGATTGCCTGAGTGAAAGTTTTCGCAGTAGGGATAATAAAATAATAAGACAGATTTCAGTATGTGAAGGAAGAAGAGGTTGTTTGGAGTTTGGCCTGAGTGCCAAACAAGAAAGTGAGTGTGGTGAACAATCCCAAAGCAGACGTGGTTGAGGCAGAGAGGGCAGTGTCAGGTTTGCTCCCTCCACATTCATGTGAGTGTCCTGATACACATTGTGCCTTTGCAAAGACATGTAGCACATATTCTGGTGCTGTAAAAAGAGTTGTACTTGAGGGCTGAAGTTGTCAAAGTTTACACAGAGGGTACCCAGAGCCAAGTTTTATTTAGTATGGATGGGTATGGCATAGAATTTTAAGGAGGTGGAGCCAAAACTTTTATAGGATGGGCAGCAAGACCAAGATGAGACTTGGTAATCCTGTACTGCCCATGCTGCTTTTCAGGGTATATTTCCAGTCTCAAATGCCCAAACAGACCTGATGTAGTCTGTGCACCAAAAAAACCTGCCTAATTTTCAGCCGTACTGTTTAGTATAAGAAAATTTATTTCTTATTTTAGCCCCAACGCATTTCTTCCCGGTAACATTCTACTTCTAATTTCATTCTGTTATGGTAGGTATTTCCCACTTAATAAGAATACCGATGACATCTGCTGAAAACTGTTACCTTGCTTAAACATGGAACTACATTAAAAAAATGGTTTATTTAATTTTGAATTATTTCTTGAGTAATTTAATAATTATGTTTGATGCATGTGTGAAGATAATACTTCCAGAAATGCAGTTTTTATACTAACATTGTATAAAACTATTAATGTATTATCAACAGAGAAAAAAAGTATTTCTAAGCTGTATTTGGTAAAACTGCTGTATTTGAGTAACCTCCATTCTAGTCTTTTTAATATTTTTTAATTATTTTTTTTAATTCTGTTAGTAACAACTTTCACAAGAGTGAGGTGAGAGTACTTGCTTTTTGAATATATGTTCTTTTTGCTTTTAGTTAACATCTGTAGAACTGATAGTATTGATTCACACTTGATTTGTTTTAACTGATTTTAGTTACATTAATGGAAGAAAAAGCTGTAACCCTTTAGTCATATTGAAATCATCTAAAATACTATTTAAATTGAGAATATGAATATGGCTGTCTTCCTGTATTAGAAATGCTAAGACACTTTGTAACAATTGGCTTTAACACAAGAAAAAATGAAAACCTAGCATTCAAAAAATTATGTAGAAATAGCTTTGATTTAGGATTGTTTAGTAAGTAAAATGTATAAATGGCTAGAATGCAAAATAAGGAAAACAAAGGCAGCAGAAAGCAAAATTAATCTATATTCCTTTACATTATTGAAAGATTCCATCTTTTGGTACCTTCTTCTTTTCTTTTTTTTTTTTTTTTACTTTCTTCAGAATCCCTAGGTACTTCCTCCTTCTCCCCATATTTTACAATCTCCGCTTATACATCTCATGTTAATTTCCTGAGTGTACTCACAACTGAACCTTTTTCTCTTATCCTCAAGTGTCTACTCACAGTGTTCATTTTACTGT